TTCATGGCAGATCTTTTTATCCAATGAAGTGTTATTGTTGAGTCTGTCCAAAACTTTATCTTTGAATTTTGAAAGTCAAGTGCCATTTTTAAAGTTTTAGACATCTTTGTGGCAATTATGGCGCTCATTAATTCCAATCGAAGCGTAATTCATTTCACAGGAGACACTCTACTTTTTGCCCGAATGAAGCTTGTTTTAATTTCATTATTTTTAGTGAAGTACCTAAAATAGGCTACTGCAACAAATGCCTTAGCACTAGCATCACAGAAAATGTGGATTTGTACCTGATCATTTATCCAATTCATTTTGTGTTGGAAATATTTTCTAGTTATCTCTAATCTCTTAAGATGTTCAGTTTCAGAGCACCAACCCTTCCATTCATTTTCTGAATCTAGGGGTAACTCATCATCCAAGGCCAAACCTCTTTTCCAAATTTCTTGCAATAAGCTTTTAATTCGTAAGGTGAATGGGGATATAAACCTTATGGGATAATAAACTTTTAGCATAGTCTTTAAAACACAACGCTTTGAAGAAGGTTTGGCATTCTCTAAGTCATAGTTGAAAGGTATCAGAATCGGTATTCCATAATATTCCTAAAGCTTTTAAATGGACACCAGATTTTTTTTTGTTCACTGCATAACATATTTTCTTTCCACATTTCTTTTAGTTTCTTAGAATTAAATTTCCATAAATGCATCCCAGCATCTTTAAGAATTTTAGCGCCAGTAGAAGATAAATAGTATGCCTAAAGAAATAGTATTCATCTGAGTTTGAACCAGAAATTAAATCATCAACATACAGGCATGTGTCTAACATTTCATAAACTTTATAATGTTCTTTCGTATATTTCTGAATATGATATTTGATAGTAGCAGCTAAAATGAAGGGGCTACAAGTAACACCGAATAGTATGTGAGTAAATCATAGAATTTTGAATGAGTCAACTGCCATATCATCAAACCACAAAAATTTCAGATAATTTCAACCTTATGGTGTTAAGCCAATTTGGATAAATGCTTTCTCTAGATTCGCAGAGAATGCGACTTCATGTTTTCGAAAATTGATAACAATATCTAAAATGTTTGTGTTTAAATTTGGCTCTGGCCATAAAAAATCATTTAAAGATTTAAACTGATTTTCTTTTGAAGAAGCGTCAAAGACCATCCTTTAGTGGTGGATTCGGCATCCCTCATAACGGGTCTGTGCGGCATGAAATAACCATTCTCAATGTTATTATCTGCACATTCTTCAAGTACCTTATTTCCCTTTTGTTCAGTAATAATATCTTTATATTGTTGGAGAAGATCTTAATATTTTTGCGAGCTTACGATTTAATTCGAAAAAACGATTCTTCGCTATTTTGAAATTGGTCCCTAACCCTTTCTTACTTCTTTCCACAATAATTTTGCTTCATAACTGTTATTAATGAATTTTAAATCGTTTTCAAATTTATTAATTATTTCTTTATCTATTATCGAAAATTCATCGTCACTAATACCAGTTGCTTCAAGGTCTCATAATTTTTTTAAATCTTTCTCTTCTGCATTCGCAACAGCTTATTTGAAAATGGCAGCATTTTTATTTTTTCACTTTTCATCATTATTTATGGAACCACAAAGCGACCATCCAATAAGCTTTCACACACGAAAAGGGATTTTGTAATTTTTTCTACTGTGCCTGGATTATTTATTTGCAAGAGATAATTGACGCTTATCAATAAATGTACTTGAGAGCCACATAACGTATTCCAATTAGACAGCTCGTATTTCTTTAATTTGCTTTCGACATCTGTGTTTAGTCTAGGTGGATAAATCATCGCGGTAGAAATTGTATCTGAACCAATGCCTCACTGCATATATTTCGCTAGGAAATTTTCACATTCTGTAATGTAACCTTGATGACGTCATAAATTTTTTGCTTTGCTTTAAGTGCATCGAAAGAGTATACTAGTAATTTTTACTTTCTTACAACTGGGGGTTTTAAATATATTAATTCTTTCGTAATAAATGTCCGTTGATTACCGCTGTCAAAAAGGCATAAAGCAATTTTTGACTTAAAATCGGATGATATTTTTACGCAACATGTTTGCAATATAACTTCATTAAATAAATCTGAGTTTTTAATCTCACATTGAGAAACGGAAGTTACTATGGTCTTTCATTTTTAGAAACTTCAAGGAGCCTTTCTTTTGGTTTCATGCATATCTTACTACCACATATTTTCATATATCAAGGGTTATATTTTACAATGCTCATTTAGAAATTTACACTTTGCAGCAATATGGAATTTCCTAAAACATACAAAACACCTGCCTTCGTTCTTTAGTTTCTTACATTTCTCGGGAATCGAAAGTGATTCACAGAAATTAGTATCATGTTCTGAACTGGGGGGGGGGAAGAGTTATTCTTAACACTAGTGGACAAAGCAGATGCTGTAAGAATATTACGTTTAAAATTTTGGTTTCTATATTTTTCTGGTTTATCATGAGATATCTTAACGGAACTATTCAAATGCATCGTAACTTCATGTGATTCTACTTCTTTAGTAAAGGATATTAGTTGTCTGATGTCCCAGTCCAAACCTTTGGCACATTATTCCAAAGCAATATCTGATGGAATCAATTTAAGTAAAATTGGGCATAATAAATGACCATAACTTCCAGATGCAACCTCTAAAGAGTTTAAATTACGAATCTGAATTTCACAGTTGTCATAGAACTCCCTCAAAGCTCTTAAGTTAAAATAATTTTTTACCGGATTCAAATTCAAAAGCTTATTCATATGGGCGTTAATAATGACATTGGTTCTACCAAACAATTCTTTCAAAAGGGCGATAGCAGAACTATAATTTTCATTAGTTAATGAAAATCCAGATACAGCATTAGCTGCACTTCCACCAGAAGTGATTTCAAGTAGCAAAATTTATTAACTGGGGTCAAATGCTCATTACTAGCTATAGCATTTGAGAATTGGCTCCAAAACTGAAGCCATAAGCAAGAATCACCAAAATATTTTTCAATTGTAAGCTTTGGAAGCTTCACAAAATTAGGTCCAGTATTATTACTATGAACACTATTTTCAGTACTTAAAACACTAGAATCATGAGAATCAATTTGAGGGTCAGAGTTCAGATTTTTGTCTAAATACCGAGTAATTCTATTTTCCATTCAATAATTTTTTAATTGTAATCCACAACAACTTCAATTTCGGATTCAATATCATCAAGGGTTAAACCACTTTCGATTTCAGAATTAAGTTGTTTAAGACCATCATACTTTTCAATTAACTGGTCTTTGAGAACAATTAACTGATCAATTTCTTGTTCATGAGTCAATTCTGACATTTTCATTAAAATGGTGTCAATTTTTGTTAACAGTTTTTAGTAGCAGTACGCAAAACTGCACATTTGAATTCTAAATTAATATATATAATAGTTTTTAATAATTCAAGTCGGTTCAAGTTTGGATAATCTTTATCTTATCACTAAAAATTAAATAAATGTTGGTACTCACATAAATAAGGGGGATGAGCCTGCCAATTCTTGTTCAGCTAATCTATTTTCGGATGAGTGCTTTTAAACATAAGTCTGAGATTGTAACCAGTTGGAAAATAAATTTCAAATTATGACCTCAGTTTTGAGATGAGAGCTTATGTCATTGCATGATTCTTTTCCAATAGCGGTAGCATTTTCAACAAGAAAGATTCTCAGGTTGGAAATAGTAAAAAATAATTGTATTTTACACAACTAACCCACAAACCAAGTTTCCTGGCAACTGCTTTAGTTTATTATGGGCATCGAGAACAGTCAAATAATTACCTTACAAAGATTTAGTTCATTTAGTTTTGAGACTACATTTAAAAGATATCCCATTGCACTTAGATATATGTCATCAGCAAGAAATTAAGTAAAATCTTTATTAATTTCTTTTATAATACAGAACTCCTTGTCTTGATTCTTCTTGTCTTCATTGAAGCACTTTGCCTTTTGAAAGCCAGAGAACTCAGGTGGGAATCTCGCAAAACGAATAATCGGGTATGGGGTTTTTGAAGAGTGGGCACCATGTTCAAGTGACCTGGCTCCAATAGACTTTTGCCTTTGGGTGTAGCTCAAACAGGAGGTGTATATGACTCCTCTGGAAACATTTTAGGACCTTCAACGATGCATTACAAATGTTTGTACAGATGTGTCACCCCCTGTGCTATAATGTTTGCGATGTGAAGTTCTAAAAGGAGTCAAAATGTGCATTTCAGCTGACGGGAATAAGTCTGAATATTGAAAATAAAGGTATCTTATGGTAATTAGCTGTTTTTTTTTCTTTCTAGGATCGTTTCATCACATCACGGTGTAGGAAATCGCAAACAAACAAATGTGTATTTAAAATGTTCTTTTCTTAACATTCCTGCCCATAAGGTGTCTTTTCTTACTGAATTGATGATGCTCTACAACTTTGTAATTTTTTTCCCTTTCATCTCATACCTTTTTCGGTGGCCTACCAGCGGCCGAGCGGTAAAGTCGGTGAACACTGGTAGTTCGGACCGAGGTTTGAATCCCACGAATGGGGGTGGCTGCGTGGGCGTTTTCGTGGTTTTCTTCATGTGTGTAACATGTATACAAGCCAGTTTCCCTTAGAAAGTCCTCCACGAAGGCATCCCTTCCCTTAGGCAGATAGCCTTAGTGTGCTTTGCCATAATTAAATAAACCAAACCAAAAACCATACCTTTTTGGAGATAGGAATGCTACCTCTGCTATTTTACATCAGTTGGTGCTGTTGAGTGGTCTACCTAGTAGGGCATAGCCACTCTACTGTACCTGAACACCACTTTTTAGGATTATAGCTCCAGCCGATCGGCAGTTAAACGAGTGGTACTGGACTTTTGTAAGCATATATATTATGCCCGCGATATATATATATATATACACAGATTAATTATTGATGCTGCATTTGTGTGTAATTAAAAAAATATGTTCATAATTTTATTTTACATTTCTTTATTTTTTAGGCAAGGAGCTTCATACATGAATACAAGTTCCTAGTTCCTGGATTTGCTGGTGGTTTTCTGTTGGGAGTATCAATGTGCTGAAGTGTTCTTGTTTTGCATTTTTGATTGTGTGCTTGTCTCTACGTTATTGGGTGATAGAAAAGTAGCTGCTCCAAGCATGATATTTTATGTTCACGAAAGTGTCTCTGCTTGAGCAGAGAATAAGTTATTTTTTAAAAGATAAGAAAATTAAAACTTTAGAATAAGTTTGTTTTCTCTCCATCAATGGCTTATAGATTAGATTAACCTTTGGGAAAGAAAGAGACTCTATCCAGTAGGATCCAAAACTTCAGTAAAAAGCAAATTTAAATTTAGAAAATATACGTATATCATATGATATTTATCACATGCTACCTATAAAAGTAGTACCTGCCCTGAGAAAAATTTATTTCTCCCAAAGTTAAGTTTAACTTGGTGTTATAATAATTTTGTTTTGAGTTTGTGTTGAGAATGTGATCAAGCACACACAGAGCTGAAAAACTGAGTAAATGCTATAAAGTAAGAGTAGTGTATCTTTTTATCTCATTTCATCATGAAATACAATTTTTTTTACTTTCTAATTATGTGTGTGTGATAGATTTTTAACATTAGGCCTGAATGCTGTTTACACGGTAGTGCAAAAATATGCTCTTTTACTATTTACATATCTTTTTTTGCCGTCTTGTAATCCTTAACTAGTGTTGCGTCTTCTGGATTAATGAGTTCAAAACATTTTATTTGCGATGGTATATAAATTTAAAATAAAAGCAAGTCAAATGTTTGGGCTTAGATTTTCTTAGCAAACACATGCTTAAAGAGTATGTGTGCTTATTTTGATATTTGATACAAGTTAAAAGAAGTATGATGAGCATCTTTCATTTCCTAATATTTTTGACATTATATATTGTTACATTTTTGTCACCCTTAAATTCATATTTATACTTGCCATGTAATTGTAAAATATGTTGTACAAACAATAAATTAGATTTTTAGAATGTTTTGTGTACTCTTTTATCACTTAAATTTGTTTATTCTGGATTTAGTGTAACTCAGTGTTTTTCAGCTGTTATGTCATGAAGCATTAGAATGCATTGAATGACAGTGGAAGTGTGGATGGCCAACAGGTGGACATGGCTTTTATTAGTTCTAAAATAATTGAATTTTCATGCATTAACGTGTGTTTTTTGCATAGCTGAGTGATAATCTGCCTTAAGCACTTTTTGCTAGTCTGTTAATAACTTCATGGCACTAAATAAAGAGCACATATTAAATATTAAGCTCAATAAACATACTGCTACATGTTACCCCTTCAGTCCGTATGTAATCAGGCAAGATGAAAAGAAAATTTGAACATTTATTACAACTTGAGATGATAATAATTTGTAAAGAAAAACAGCTAAAAATAGCTTATATGGAACAAAAGAGAGAGGAAACACTGACATTCTTTGTATCAGAGGATGATTAATGTGTATTACAAAATTGCTTCCAGAGTACATATTAGTAACACTGAGTATAAATTCAAGAGCAGTAACTAAGCACACATTCAAAATGTCGTGCATTCTTCACAGTCCAGTATTTGTACTGTAGCTAAAGAGTAAGGTGGCTACATGGAAACTTTTTAAATTCTGCTCTTCCTGCACTTAGGTAAGCAAAGAGCTATTATGCCTTTTCAGCAGAAGAAAATGCCTGAGACTGAGACTATTCATGCAAGTCAGGCTAGACAGGTAAAACTATAGGAATAGTGCAGACAATTCAGGATGAAGCTATACTAGATGAAACAGCCTGGACTGTCACCATGGCTGATGACAAGTGCTGCTTTTGTTTTTATTGTTCGGATTATTAATTTTGGATTTTCCAAGACAAACTCTGGTTTATAATCATTTTATGCATGCAGGAAGAAAATGAAAACACTTAATACAGAGTTCGTATGCTCCTTAATAAGCTCACGGTTTTTGGAAATGATTTTTGGCTCTTAATTTTGTTCATCAGTCTGTTCTATATCTTTTGTATGACGACCATTTAGAGTCTGAATTAGCATTTTGGCTGAATATAATTTAAAATTGTGACTTGTAATAGAATCTTCTCAAATTAAAAGAAACACTTTGTCATCCTGGGCTGAAAATTTCTGGATGCCTGATTCATCTAACTTTTCAAATAAGATGTTATCAAGAATAAACACTATCTATCTTCATTGAAAACAAAAATGTCTTAAGACTTCGATTTTGACCTTACGGCCATGCTTCTAAATATGATCTATGGTGAAAACTTAGATCTGCAACGTCAAAACATGAATTTCATAAAGATTAGGCTTCCCCTTACTGTTATCACTTATTAAATAACCCATCTACAGTACCGCTCAATTCAAAAAATTGCATTGTGGATAAAATAACATTTGGATATTAAAATTGATATCAACAGGAAACTCTCCACGAGAGGAATCGAATGATACCAGTATCCAAATGATCCATCTAGCCACTTGTGTGATATTGTCGAAAAACAAGACCAATCTTTGAAATTGTTTGTCTTGATCTTAACAATATTGCGGATAACGTCAAGGTATGTGATTTCGATTCATATTTCAGGGAAATAGTGTATAATAAGCATTATAAATTTAATGGTTCTGTAGAGAAAAATTTTCTGTTTCATTTAATATAAGATTTACCCCTTAAAATTAAAGTTAATAAAAGTAATTTAAAAATAATTTACAGTAATATTTTAAATTTAATATTGTTAGAATACCATTGTTGATATATTTATTTAGTTGGTACTTTTCCGTTTTGCCAGCGCAGGCGATAAATTCACCAATTAATGGTACAACTGGTGCCAAGCAGAATAGTCTAGCTGGTAACCTTTTACGCCTCATTTTGAAAACAAGTAGCAACCGTTTCTTATCAGATTGATTGCTTCTTTCAATACTGGCGTACAATTACACAGAATTTTTACCAGATAGTTCAATTTTATGCCCTAAGGCCATTCGGGGTAAATAAGTGAATTAGGATGCAATCACTGTTCACCTGAAGGCGAAAATATAGAAAATGCTAAGTTAAGGATTAAATGCATCAATTCTAATGAGAATGTACTAGCGAAGTAAAGGACTGTGGTTTTACATAATTTCTGAGTAAGCTATTCATATGAACTGAAATAATTCTTGCATTTAAACTTGTATTCCAAATTAAGATTTAACTTGAAATTAATGTAGAGAATTAGATTTTTGTAGCGTAGTTTACGTGAGATGAGATCACTTGGGATGAATCGGCGAAACGGGATGTTGAACCATGACAGCGTAGTAAGTTCTTAAATTACTATCCTTTTACAAATTTATTGTCTTTATTTATTAGCTTCTTACAAAATTTTAAACGATATTAAAATGTTTATGCCTTCAAAATAAAAAATTCTTAGAACTAACATTTGTCAACATTTTCTATGTGTATACTGTATGTAGTCGCCAATAAAGTCTGCTTGGCGAGATTTGCGGCGGCGAAACGGAAAAGTATCATTTAGTCTATACTCTATGCATATTTTTAAAATTTAATTGTAAATTTTATATGAAATATAAAAAATAGAAGTGCAGTGCAAAATTTTCTCTTTCTTTTGATAGAAAATTGATTTTAAAATATTTAAAAAACCCCTGGAATTAACTAAATTTTGATATTTTCATCTATATTAATTTTATAGAAATTATTTTTGATCATGGGGCATGCCTTAATTGTACACGTGAAAAATACTGTAAAAATTGAATTAATTAAATAATTTTAACTAAATATAATTAAATATAGTGTATAAAAGCATAGGTTCTTACGGAAAGACCTGTCGGCCCCAAGAGACGGGCTCCAGTTGTTGCCAAACCAAAAAAAAACCATTTACTAAGTAGAAGAAAAAAACATTCTATTCTTATTTTTCTTTCAATTTATTGTATTATTTTTACATTTAATTTTTCATTAAAAATTTATATATATTTTTTTAAGGAGATATACTGTAAAAGCAATTATTTTCGCTAGGTTTTAATTTTCACGAGAAAATAAAAGTATTGTGAAATACTTTTTTTCGCATCAAAAAATAATAAAAAAATTAAAAAATTTTCACTTATCAAATTTCGCTCAAGAATAATAACTGCAGACCTAGACTAGATTAACTTAATTCACTCATTAATAATAACTAACACGTCTAATCAAAGATATACAGATGCAAAATCGAGTTATAATATTAATTCTAACTCGATTTTGTATCAAGATGTTGGAAGAAGACTTTCTGGGGAAAAATCGCGTAGTTTTGCGTCTTTTCTTAGGCAAAAATGGTCGGCGGGATTTTTCGTAAGTACCAACCACTAAACTCGCTACATACCTAAAATTAATGAGCTTAAAAATGCATATTACTATTTTAGTACAAATTGCAACAATGATTTGTTTAATACTTTAGTGAACAACAACTGAAGGTAAAATTTAAAATTTCATTAAATCAATACTACAATACCAATAGACATTAAATTTTTAACTTCTCTAATTAAACTATTAAAATAGAACCAACATCATTGTCCTCTAAGTAAAATTCTGAATCCATAGAGTGATTATACTATAAAATTATATTAACTCAGAAAGGAAATGATAATGAATGTCTCTAATATTAATTCTAACTCGATTTTGTATCTGAAAATCGAAATCCAGCGCCCCCACCTATCTCAAGGAAGCAGTGATGTTCGCTTTGAAATGAAGATCTTGACAAGAATGTATACAAAATTGAGAAAGTTTATGACAAGTGCTTAGAACTTCCTCAAACAAGAAAATGTGGAAAGAGACTTGAAATAAAAACTTTAGTAGACTTCGTCAAAGAAACAGCTATGCAAAGTATCTCAAATACTGTCATTTCACTTTACCAGAATATCATCCATCTACTTCACCATACCAAATTTTTAATGACGACTCAAGTGCTTATGCACCTTCACAACTTTCGGAACCAAAGTAATTCAAAAACACAGCTTCATCCCCTTGTATTATCGCGAAATTGTTGTTTTATGTATCGACAAGTTGTTGTATCATTTATGGTAAGCTGAGTAGTTGAATGTTATG